AGTTAGAATTGTAAAAGTCCAATCAGCCTATCTTGCTCAACCCATCAGTGAAAGATTATTTGGTGGAACATCTTCTTTGGAGTTCAGTCAAATTTTAAACAAATTAAGCAAATGTGCTTTTGGGAAATGATATCAATGATAAGAAAGCTCAGAGCTTATATTTTTCATCATTATCATTGAAAAAATATATGTTTAACCATATCCTAGTCGTTGGGATTTCAAAAGTATGAGTCAGTTTTTCTTAGTATTTAAGCAGTTACCCTTAAGGAACATGACCATGCTACAGTATATGTAGCACTAAATACTTTTGATAGGGTACATGCATTTTTAAATTATCCTAATTTACTACCAGGAAAGATGGTTCAATTTAAATAAATGTAGAATATGATGTCAAGAACCTATTATGTGGAAACAAATGATCTTTAGTCATATCTTGGCATTCTGAAAGTCTAACCCATTCAAGGTTTTTCCATGGCTACTTCCTCAGCCTCATTTAAAAAAAAAATATATATATATATATATATATATATATTAAAGTCACCAAAGAATTTTCATAATATTTCAGAGCAATCACTATAGGTTAATTTTCTACAAATTATATATTCAAGAGCATTTTCTTCAGTAAGACGAAAGTTGAATAAATCCCCTGATTCCTCATGAAACTCTAAGTCAGTCTATGTTGATGAATATTCTATTACAAACTATTGTGTCTATTTCCTAGATTTAGCATGGAATCTGAAATGGGGAAAATGAGAATTGCTTTCAAATCCAGCTGCAATCAATCATCTTGAAATATACTCTGGTTTCTATGAGTGACACAACATAATAATTAAAGTCCTCTTCTGTTAGAAATTGAATAGATTCAGGAACAATTTTTGATGGAAATAGACTTCTTAACTTTTAATTTTAAATTGTTCTTAATGAATTCCCATAAGTGTCATTTAGTTTCTTTAATTCTTTATTCCTCCTTGCAGAAATGGAATGCTTTAAGCAATAGGAAATTATTATTTTTTCTATTTTCATTTCCCCCTACTCACATATTTTATAATATTTTATATCACATACTAGAGATTTTGACAAAGTTATGTGTTTGGGGACTCTCTTCCTTAATGTCTCCCTGCTACTCATATGTATCCATCTATTAGATACAAAGTAATTGGATGCAGTTTAACAATCAATTTGAATACGTTCATTTCAAAGTAAATTAATTTTTACAGACACATTTAATTTAATACTATCATTCTCATGGTCACTCTGGCTTAAAATTCAGAGTCATCTTTACTAACATATTTCTCTCTTACATTCAGGTACCTCATAAATATATTTTTTTATCCACTCTTTGCCAATGGTTCTATCTCAAAATCATTCAGCTGAGTAGCAACTTTGCTTTTTATTTCCTCTTGCAAAATATATTTTTCCAAAGCTACCTTGATAAAAATGTAAGAAAAATAACATCTTGTTTTGGTTCAAAATAGCTTCTCTTTCATATCTCAAATGTCCCTAATGTTAAATGATTAGCTAAGCAGTTACCCCATCATAGTATCTGATGACTTACTCCTTTCAAATTTCTATGCTTAGTTATTACAAGGAAATTAAAACTTTCATGAATTTTGAATACAAGTAGTTTTTTGTAAAACACAGAAACAAATGTTTACAGGACTGGATGGGAGGGTTTAATAGGAGGTTCTCAATATTTCCTTTAGTGTACAAAATGATCATGAAGGCACTGAGAAATGAGAATAAAGAGTCAGAGGAAAATGTATTCCAGAGGAAAAAAACCCTTAAAAGCTGTTGCCAACAAAGGAAAATGTCATTTAATTCACATCTGTGCCTAAGGATGCTCATGAGTACTCTTTAAATATTTCATTAAATGTTGATTGAGCAGTTACTATATGCAAACGATTGTGTTAGCGATTAATAGAAGACTGTTCTTCCTATTTAATATTAAGTGAATTGGGTGGATAACATTTCTGCTGAGATAGCCAATGTTTTTAATGCAGTGAATAATTCTTTACTTCAAATTGCTTGCAATCTATTCAAAGAAACAAGCAGTAACTACCAAGCACAAAATTGTAATCCAAGAGTTTAATAACAAAAGAAAACATCTCACAAAGTAGATTGTGATTAAGTCCGAAGTGATTCATACAATCACTATGTACTGTTGAATGGTAGAAAGAGTACTAGACTAGCTGTCTATCAAATTTCATGTCCTTCAGTCTCTCATCTGTAAGGACCTAATAATACATGGTACTGCAGTAAGAAATAAAGGAGATTTATCTTTATAAAATACCGGGTAAAATGTTAAGAAGAGCTATACAAAGATAGTGAACTTTAAACAAATAAATCTCAAAAGGATATTGTTGTTTAGAGCAATGGTTCTCCATCAAGGATAATTTCATTACCAAAGGAGCATTTGGCAAAGTCTGGAAACAATTTTATTAGTGTAGGAGAAGGGAAAAACTTTCCCACTACCCTCTCAGGTTCTGTTTTTGGGGGCCTATGAACTAAACTGACAAAAGACAGATTAACATGAGAAGAGGCATACAAACTTTACCAACATTAATATTTTTATAAGTACAGGGTACTTCATAGAAAAGAAGTAAAAAAAAAAAAACAACTAAAAAGACAGTTATACCCAGGGGTTTATATGCCATTTCAACAAAGGATGATTAATTATGGGAAAATTACTAGACAAAGGAAAAAAAGATTGGGGCTCATGGAGAGGGAAACTGCAGAAAGATGACTTGGAAATGTATGGGGTAAGCCAATGGTAGACAAGGGTTTTTATAAAGCAGTATTTTTGTTTATAAAGCAGATACATCCTGGTGCCATCTCTGGTGATGAGTCATTTTCTTCTTTCTGGTATTGGGGCCAAGGGAGAAATTTACAAATGAAAATTTCCTTTACAAAAGGAAAATTATGCCCTGGTTTATGTCAGATTAGGGGAGGGCTAAGAGCTCCTCCTGTGGTTTATTATTAATTAATAAGTGCTGCAGTTTCTCAACTGCCTTCTGTTCAAAATAATCCTGTGTCAAAGTGGCATATTTTGAGATGGAATATTTGGATCCGCATCAGTTGTCATACTTGGGGTGTGGAGGAGCTACTGGGATCTAGTAGGTAGAGAACAGAAATACTGTTCAACACTCTGCAATGGTCCCCTCCCCCCCCAACATATAATTGCCCACTCAAATAGCAATACTGCTGAGGTTGAAAAATACTGGTTGTGAGCACTTAGGAAGTAATTCGTCAGAAACATATAAAGTGCACTAAATTAAAGTGCATTAAATTAAATAATGGGCATGAATTGGATAGAGAGGAAGTATTCTTAGATATAGAGAGAAAAATCAAGTGAGATTGTAGCTCCTCAAAGGATTCTCATTACTCAAAAATGGATTGTGAAGGCAACAATAGAGCATTGAGGTGAAGCAGGTTTGTTGGTGCAAATCTAAGAAGGTTTTTAATACAAGGCTCTGATTGGGGAAATTATTCTGTAGTTTGCAAGGAAAAAATTAGGTTTAAGAACTTTGGGAAATTTATACATCTAAGGTAAGCAGGTATTGAGGGGAAAAGACTAGAAGCAGGGAAATGATTAGTAGACAATTATAGTAGATCTTATTTGTGTTAACAAAGACCTGGCAGTGAAAAATGATTAAAAACAGTAGTTGAAAATGTGAAGAAATTCCAAAGGATTGTAGGAAGGGGAGACTGAGGCCCATAGAAAACAAGAGGAGCATCCCCCTCCACTCTGCAAGAGCAATTCTACACCTCCTGCTACAAAATGAGACACTTTTCGGAGGTGCTGCAGGGATACTTCACAAATGATCTTCTCCAGACACCTACACCATCAATTTGAATGAGAAATGGCATTATTGACTCGTTTCAGGAATGCTATCATAGAGACCAGGGGAAAAGATGTTTAATCTGTAAAAGGCTTTGCTATTCTTTAGTAGGTTCTGTCAAAGAGAGTCATTTAGTAAGAGCTCTCACAATCTTCCTCTGTTTCTTTATATTACCATCTCTGCCAATCACATTGTCATTCTTCCAATCAGCCAAGCTGGGAAGGGGAGTATCAGTCTTTCACAATTTTCTTTTCTTATTCCATTGTATAATTTTCATGTCCTTCTGGTACTTTCCTTACAGTATATCTTTGTTTTGTTCTAATGCCTGCCGTTTTTTATAACCCTGATAGAATAGCATTTTATACAACTGAATTCATGTGTAGGTCCTAAATGCATCTCAACTGGTCTGTCCCCAAATCCAATCAGCAATATATTACCAAACCAACATGAAATGAATGTAACTTTCATGTTACTGTATCTCAAAAGCAAAATGTTCAAAACAGTTGCTATACCATCGTGATTATAGGTTTACCTTTTCATTTTCTTTTACTTTCTCTAATCCTTTTTTGTTGTTTTTGTTGTTTGTTTTATGTGCAATTACCAGTTAAGCTCAAACTAACTCTTTATATTCAATACCTACTTTAAAAAGCTAAATGGAAAACATTATACATTTACAAAAATTCTTTATACAACTATTCCTAGAAATAAGTGCATTTTAGGTGTTTCATTCTTTAAGCTTTCTCATTTTTCCCATTTTATTTTTCTTATCTCTTTTGGAATCATCCAAGAATTTGAAAATTCTAAAATATTAATAAATATCTAGGTTTCAAAATTATCAATTAGTTTATTTAAAAAACTATTTGGGTATTTATTATTTTAAAGCTACACAAAACTTTTAAAGATTCATGTAAAATAGAATTACAAAATGATAACTTGCTAGAAATGAAATACATAAAACAAGTCAAAGACAGGGCATATCCTAAGCAATCCTAATTATCAGCCATCTGTTCACCTGAGTAGCCACCAATGAGAAGTTTTCTTTGTCACATCTACCCAAAGACCAGTAGAAAAGTGCCCCTTGGGTAAATACTATTCTATTTAAGGCATTGTATTAGTTTCTGAGGTCTGCCAGAACAAATTAACACAAACTTGATTGCTTACAATAACAGAAATTCATTATCTCCTACTTTGGGAGGCCAGAAGCTTGAAGTGAAGGTGTTGTCACTGTGAAGCTCCTTCCAAAGGCTCTAGGGGAGAATCCCGGCCTCTTTTAGATGCTGGTGGCTTCCAGCGTTCTCTGGTTTATGGCAGCATAACTCCAATCTCTGTCTCCATCCTCACACGGCCTTCTCCCTATGTCTCCCTGTGTCCTTTCTGTAATAAATACACCAGCCATCAGATTAAAGCTGACTCTAAATGCAGGATGATCTCATCCTAAGATCCTTAACGTAATGATACCTGCAAGGACTCTATTTCCAAACAGGCTCACATACACAGGCACTGGATGTTAGGACTTGGACATCTAGTTTTGGAGTATACAATATAGCTAGCTCACTACACTCACAGGAGATTCAGTTTGAACTAATAGCTTTACTTAACTGCTACCATTCTTCACCCTGTTTGCTTAATTGCTATCATTCCTCACCTCATCCACAAGAAGTATCTTGTGAGATTATCAACAAAAAACATCTTATACCATTTTTAACCAATTATCAGCATTATATGACACCAATGATAGCAGAGTTCTAAATGCCTATTAGTCATTATTAGTCTTATTAGTATATTTTGGATTACAATGGCTCCAGTTATTTATTACATACATATATTATATAAATGGATATAATTATATAATGTGTGTTTGCATAAAACATTTATTTTTATAACAGCAAAAATAATTAAAAGAACAGAAAATTTTTTCTTTACTTGATAAATAGTAAAGAAAAATTTACTCAAATAGATTTACTACCTTAAGAGAACATTTTAATTTCTTTTACTAACTTAGTATCTTATATATTTTTTAATATTTGGGACAATCCCCCATGTTATTAGTCTCTGCCACAAACAAGAGATGCCACATACTCATTTTCCCAGCCTCCCTTGCAGCTATGGGACTGGCAAATGATTTACTTCACTAATGAGATACAACAAACCCAGTCTTTGGGCCATAAACCAGGGATGTGCAGAGAGGCTGGCACCCAGGTATGATGGTGGGGACATTTAATTTTCAGAGGCAACAACACCAGTGGTTCTAGCAGTAGAATTCTATGCCCAAACCAGTGATAATATACATACAAGATGTGGTGAGTTGCACTGTGGTGACAACAGTATATTTGCAGCCTTGCAGTGTGTGCTAGGGTATTATTCCTCATGATGTAGTCTCCAAGCCTGGTCATAAGCCTTCCCAGAGATTATGTGAGCTATCTGTAATTACTTATTAGATTACTTTTCTATGTTGCTGACAAAAAAGAGCAATGATTGATGAATCAACTCACTAGACTTGGTTTACTGGCAACAACAAACAATCCAATGTGACCACATAATTAAAAAACTGAGTGAGAGGCACAGAGATCAGAATGTAATGGCTTCTGTAATACCAAGAAGTATGTAAAATCCCTGATTTTTAAATCAAAACTTTGTTTATATAAAATATAATTTTATAATGCATGATCTATTTTCCCTCTTACTGACATCTAAAATTCATCCAGACATAAATAAAATATCTTTATTTTTATAACTTGTCAATTGGCAAGGAAAATAAACAAAACAAAATGTATCCCAGTTAATGAAGATGATGGTATTAAAGTTATACATGTATATACATATATATATAAAGTTAGGCATAAGGACTAAGGATGTCATCAACATTGTCACTGCTTTTATTATTATTATAAACCAAAATATTTCCCAGGGATTTCTCCAATTCTACATAATATAGTCTATCATTTTTAAGTCCTTTTTTATAATACTATACAAGGCCAACAAAAAATAATTTTTATTTAATTTTACTATATAGATCTCTATATTTTGATCTATCTATAGACAGACAGTAAATATCTATCAACATATCTATATATCTATATCTACATATTCATATCTATCTATAGGTGTATGTATCTATAGATGTATCTACAGCTAGATATAAATATATTATTTTATTTTGCTATCAGTATTATTTTTAAAATAGCTATTTTAAGAGTCTAATATCATATAACAAAGGTTAACTAGACCTTTTGGAAACTAGCCAAAGGATTTAATTACAATTCTAAACAAATCCTTTTAATCAATTAAAAGAATGTGTTCTGAGTTTCAAAAAAGTAATGTGCATATACAGTTTTTTGACTACTTGAAAACTAAATTTATTAATTAAGCACCTCCTGTAAGTGAATTAGTATGAAGCAGAATGATTACAAAATGTCATTGTATAGCATTGTTAAAGGTGAGAAATAAATTTAAATAGTGAATAGGTAAATGCTTAATAATAGACTTGTAGATTTAAAAGATCTTTAGTTTTATTTTTTAATTTTTGAGAAACATCATGCAAGGCTAGAGAACACTTGCACAAAAACTATGAATGTGAAATTAGAAAAAAGAAAAAGGCAATAATTTCAGTATGGTTAAATGCCAGAAAATAAACTCTGGTTTAATTTAAAAACTTGAAGAAAATCATTTGTGTGATAAAATCATTAATGAAAAAGCATTTTTGAATCATTCTTAAACCTATACTCTCTGAACATATAGACAAATCTACTCTGCAACTATCTGAATCAATGGCTCTGTAAGAAACTTAAGAAATCAATGTATTTTAACCCCTCTACACTTAAAAATCATAGGCTAATTCAACAAGCACTTAAAGTATTTCTTCCCCATAGACACTTTTATTTACATATTCCCTGGGCACTATGTCACTTGCTATTTCAACATTTCCCTCTCCACTACTTCTCATTGTTAGATGAAGAAAAAGATTCTATGGTGCCTATATTTGAATTTAGTTTTCTTACATTTTTCTTTTTTTCATTTTGTGAACATTGATTTTTGAAGGAGGTTAGACTGAAAAAGAATTGTTTTCACAGTTGAGATCAAACAATATCTTCCCTAAAAATATATTTTCAAGTACAAATCTTCCTCTGCTTGATAGAAAAAATAAAAATAATGCCACTATAATAGACACATAGTAAGACTTTTCAATAAAAAAAAACTTCTGGAATTTTAAGTATTTGTGACTTCTAAATTTAAAATTTATTTACATATAAAAATAATTTTGAGTGATACTTTTCAATAATTTCTTAAAGAAATTATAAAAACAAATTTTATTAATAAAAGCAATTAAGATTTATTGATGTATTTAAGAATATTTCATGCATGACAAAATTATTAAATAAATGAGGCTTGAATAATAATACTTTATTTGTTCTTAAATAGTCCAGTTAAGTTCAAGAGAGGCAGACATGTAAACACTCAATTACAAATAAAATGTGTAGCTCTCTTAAAGACATTTTACAATATTGAGTCACAGCCTAGAAGAAAATCATCAATAATAACTGTACCTCAAATAAGATGTTTTTAAAACTGAATCAGGAAGCATAATTAGTAATTTAATAATTAACAAAATTTAAGGAAAATAAATGAGACAAAGAAGAATAGAATATGCAAAAGCACAGTCATGAAGCTGTATGTTTGGAACTACAGATCCTTTTACTAGTTCTGTCTCAGATAAATATACTACATTGTCTCTTTGTTCATTTTTTTATTAAGATAAAATTCACATAACACATAAGTCCCCATTTTCAGTGTACAATTTTAGTATATTTACAATAATGTGCAGAATTATTGTAGAATTATCTAGAATTATCACTAATTCTAGAACATTTTATTAATCTCTAACATTTAACACCTGTATCTGTTAGCAACCAATACTAAATCCCTTCTTCCCCCAATCTTCCTCTCCTTCCAGGGGCTGGAGACAATCCCTGCGACTACTAAATTTTCTGCCTCTGTGGTTTTGCTTATTCTTAACACATCATACAAAAGCTATCAAGCAATATTTGGCCTTTTGTTTCTGACTTCTTCCACTAAGTATAATACTTTAAAGAGTCATCCATGTAGTAGTATGTATCAGGACCTTACTCCTTTTTTGGCTGAATAACATTACATTGTAGGATATGACACCTTTGTTTCCCCTGTGATTAACAGACAATTCCAGTTATTTCCACTTTTGGGCTATTATAAATAATATGTCTTTGTATGTTCAAGTTTTGGTGTAGACATATTTCTTTTCATTTCTCTTTGGTATATATCTAGAAATATAATGCTAAGGTTACATAATAACTGTATATTTAATATATTAAAGAACTGTCAATGCAAGCGTTTAAATTATTAAAGAACTGTCTATGTTTTACATAGACACTGTACTATTTTACATTCCCACCAGCAATGTATGAAGGTTCAAATTTTTCTATATCCTCTATCACTTATTTTCTGATTTTTCTTCTTTGTTTAAATTATAGCCAGTCTAGTGGTTTGTAAAGTGGTATCTCATACTGTTGATTTGCATTTACCTAATTAATAAATATATTGAACATTCTTTCATGTGCTTATTGTCCACTTGTGTATCTTCTTTGAAGAAGTTTCTATTCAAATACTTTGCCCATATTTAATTGGGTTGTTTGTCTTTTTATTCTTGAGGTTTGAGAGCTCTTGTTATAGTGTAGATACTGAACTAATATTCCAATCATCCATTTTATCATTTCAGAGACATTCAGGGGAAAAATTTTAGTAGACATGCTCAATCTTTAATCTTGACCTGTAGGTTCAAATTGTATTGATGAAAAAAATTTCATGTTAGATTTTTTAGAAGTCATGAGAACATAAAAATGGTCCAAGATAAGAATCAAATCTCAAAGTGTGTCACTCATGAGTTAAAATAAAGCATATGTGGTTTGAAAAGACATCTACAAAATAAAAACAAAAGGAATATTTGGCAATATTAACAATAATCAATGTAAAATATAAATAAGTTTTTAAAATCCATAAAATGAGATTTATTTATAATTGAAGACATATGCAACATTCACAAAATTTGTAATAATGTTCTATGTTTAATATTGTATAATGTAATAATAAATTTTAAAAATCTAAGAAATAAAAGAAAATTTCATAAAAAATTATAGAAGTGAGAAACTTTAACATATAGTGTTAATATTTTCTTTAAATCATTTATGATTTGCACAAAGAAAATACAAAGTTTAAAGGATCAGAATAATATTATAGCTATATATTATACTTCATTTCTGAGAATGTATATTTTAAATCACTTGATGGGAAATTTGCATATATTAGGCTTAGAAAGATGCTTTTAAATAACTCATGTATGAGAAATCACACAGACTTGTTCACTGCCCATGCAATCAAATAAAAATTTAGAACTTAAGAAAAAATGAGAGAAAAATAGTGTTACTAGCACCATTAGCAAATAGGCCACAAAAACGAAAGCATAACACTAGAAGATATAAAAAAGAAAATAGACTAAACTTTCTTAGCTTGGTCTTCAATCAAAAAGGATTATTAAAATTTAGAAACTGACGATGAAGAATATTAACTTAAAAATATATGCAATATCAGCATAACTACTAATACAGATATATATATATATATACACACACACACACTAGTCTTACATAATGAGGAAGAATGAATGACAATAAAAGAAAAACTCAACTCATTTTTTAAAATTGGTAGCTGCAAAAGGCCTAAAGCCCTAAGGGAATATTAATAAATGTTTGTCTGAAAATGATACAATCTAAAAGACTAAAATTAGAAGCACTTATATATTAATCCCAATCTGTTTCTAAACTGACTAAAATTATATAGTTAAATATCAGTCCAGGCTAACTTTTTAAAAACACAAATAAATAAAATTTGGAAAAATAATGCTGATGAAGGTTTCATTAAAAGATGATGATATCACTTCATTCCAGGTAAATTTAAAACATTTGTATAATAATCTGTGTTCTAGAAAAAAAAATAGTAATTACCTAGGAATATAAAGAGAGTCTAAAAAGAAATTTAAAAAAATTTATAAAAAATGTAAAATTAGCAAAAACAGACATTAATCTGAATGTTTCTATGATCTATTTATTTCGAGTGAGAAATGGATAATAATTTCAAATAGTTGCAAATCATGAAAATAGTGGAAAGTTTCCAAATTTAATTATGTTCACAAGTATAAAAATGTATAAAGAATAAAACCTGTAGGTCTAGTATATTTTAGATAATAAAAACAAAATAAAAATCAAGAGAAAAACAGAAAATAAAGATATAAAATTTTTGACATATGTCTCAAAGATATTTAGTAAACAACCAATATACTTTTCAGATTAGATAGATAGATTAAAAACACACTAATACCAGTAGAATAATATTGAAAATAGTAAAGAATTGCCCTCTCAAATATCCCTCTTAAAATTCACTATGAAATACTTGTCGGTCTCATTAAAAAAGGGACAAACCCAGGATCTATTTTATTACCACAGTATTTAAATTGTTCTAAAAGATTTAGCCATTGTGAAGTAACAGAAGAAAAGAATTAGATACTTAACTGCTTAAAAGAAGATAAATAGTTATTTGTAGGTGAAAAAAATATGAATTTTAGTATTCTACGCTGCTGAATAGCTCATATCAATTGAGGGAAAAGGAAAAAGGGAAATAACAGTGTTCAAAGAAGTCTAAGGATTGAGACAACATAAATCTGAGTTATAACTTTGGACCTCTATGCGTGTGTGCATGTGTGTGTCTTTTCTTTCTAGCTAGAGAAGTACATGCATATATAGATATTTATCATATACAGATATATATCACAATGTACAAATATCCAACAACTGATATATAATTCACAAGTGTTAATCTACAGTATAAAGAAAATAATAAATGATACCTTCACTGATTGTGTTCTCTGGCAACAGATGCTGAAAAGGAGTTTGGAGTGCAAGTTTATTCATGAGAATCAAACTGTAAAAGGAAAGGAGAGGAAGCAGAATTTGTAAGAAAAAGAGGCCAAATTACCATGCAGGCCCACCCAAGTCTTAACCAAATGGTCAGATAGTGTTGAATGAATATTGCTCATTAAAGTGACTGTCATTGGGCTAAAATGACTAGGACTTACACTCCCACTTTTCTTAGTCACCAGATATGGACTATGGCAGGAAGGCTCAACCTTGAATGAGTCAGGGGCTGTAGCTGAGGCATACCCTGAGAAAGCTCACAGCCTGAGACTAACTGCTAACCACACTATCCCACTGGGAAGCAAGTCCTTCCTTGAATTGGGATCTATATAGCAAAAGTTCATGTCTATCTTAGCCCACCCTCAGTACCACTTGGATCAAGAACTCCATTTACCTTTATGGAGCAGCAATTCCAAGTTTCTGGTGGGGCTCTTTTTCAAAGTGGAAGCCCAGTGGGACACCTTATAGACGTTCCCTCTGTCAAGTGGCCTCAGAGCCACAATTGTTACTCTTCTCTCCTCTCTCCATTATTCATTTTAGATTTTCTTCACTGCTACTTCTTACCTCTCTGTGACACAGGCCACCCAGGCAAGGGTGTGACCTTGGGAAAGATGACAATCTCCAACCCTTAAGGTGCTGACAGATGAAGGTGGACTGCTACCTGTGCACCCTACAGCTAGGCAGGGAATCCTTCCTTGAAAGTCTTTCTCGAATGAAAATCTTGATAGCATAGACATTTAATTAAAATATGTAATATATGTTATTTAATATTAACAAATGAACATATGGTATATATTATGTAATGCATAATACATAAAGTGCAATATACATATTCATACTATATAATAAATGCATATATAGAAAAATACTCATCTGCTTCTCCTCAGTGGGTGGGACTCATTCTTTCCCCTGCCCATAAGCTTCCTCCATGGGATGAGAGGAAAAGATCTTGGGGACAATCAAATTCAAGCTTACATCATGCCAGCTAATGATTCCAGAAGAATGAAACAGCTTTTCTTTCTCAGTCATTGTGCTGATGGGACTCTGTGCTTCTTTCATGTACAGGATGAAAATGTTCTGTCTTGTGTTGTTTTGTTCATCTAAACAATGACAAGAATGGATACTGACTGGCAACGTGTAGGGGCTGCGTTGATTATCCACTGACCTTTGCAAATCATTCTTCACCTTCCTCTGCCATACTTGTGACCCAAGAGTCTGATCTCTGTGGACTACATCACCCTGTTCCCTTGTCCTCTGACCCAGCTGAGAGGCCCTGCCATGAAACTGGATGGAGGAGGGAAGAAAGATTGGTATATTTATTCCCTTCTCTCTCTGCTGGGAGGCAGTTCTGTCATTGGCTGTACTTTCACTGTGGTTAGTCCTGGCAGGCCCTCTCTTGGAATGGATCCAGCTTTTTCTGGTCTCAGTAGCACCCTAATCTCCCTTGGTCCCTCCCTTTGCTGCAGTCCCTGGCTGCTCCCTTAGAGTCCTTGTAGTTTCCCTTCACCCAGTCTACTCTATAATAGTGTCTTCACTGTTAATCATTTGAGTGTGTTGTCTGTTTCCCATGAACTCCTAGGTCACCCCTCATGTCTTTATAAATCTTCAGTGAACAACTCTGGGCCTGACCTGGGCAGGTACATTGGAAATATGATGGTATAGAGGATAAAGTATTAAGATTTGAAGCTCAAAAGGTAGGATATTGTGATTGTCCACTCTAATAGAAACACATTCAGTGAGTGAAATGAAGTTCCCTAAGGGAAAGGGAGATTACTTTTAAGGAAATAAAGGAAATGGGGTCTTTTACAAAAATTATAAATGTCCTCTAATCTTTCCTTCTATTAATAATGTTTAGAGACAAAACTTTCTTTTCCTACATGTCATTTCAATTACCAATTACTTCATAGTTATATTTTATCTAAAACCTAAAATATACACATTACCTTTGCAAAGAGAGTCCACCCTAAATTTCAGTGGCTGCATTGAGTTACAGGCCCATGTTCCCTGTTTTGTATACTTTGGTTTTATTGGGCCTATGTACAACTGCCTGTGGTTCTATAGTATACGGCTAGTAAGAAATTAAGTGTTCCTAAAAATACAAGATGCTGGAAGCAGCTGAAATGACACTAACTGTGATTAAGCATGTTCATTTAGAGAAGTGGAGAGAGTAGACAACTAAAAGGCCTCTGCGTATGCCACATGCTGCAGAACATGGAGTCAAGACTTGCTTCAATAAATAAGCTGTCAATAAATAAGCATCTTGATCTGGCCACAGTTCAGGGTCTGGTTCTTCCCACCAAGGCTCTCCTTTATCCACTGTTTCTCATACCTAAAAAGGTACTTTATTTCTTGTTGACATGGACAGGAGGTTCTGAGAATTGTTTGGTGATTTGAGAATCACAGTTCTGTGTTTAGCAGGCAGAAGAATTCTCAGGGACAACAATTCTCTGAAATGTACATTTTTCTCTTAGTTTATTTTTGGGGGAGTTTTAAAATCTAGTAAATAATAGTTTGATCATAATAGCTATATTTTTCTCAAAATTTATTTTTCTTACTAAGGCCTTGGGGCTTAAATCACTGCCTGTTCCCCCTTAAGCCCCAAATATCTGCTTTTCTTCTGCTCTCTACCTTGAGAAAATATGCAACAACAAATTGGATAAGACAAAGCTAATATGCTGTCTACCTCCAGGATCCATCTCAAAGGTAGAATTTTTAGTACTGCATGGCAGAGGTGGGTTAGGAGAGATGTGTCAAGGATGGGGGTGGGGTGTGAAAATATCAGGCTTTCCCAGGGCCAAGGGTCTTTCTAGAACCCAGTGCCATCTCTTGGGTTTATTTATAACTTCCCTGATTCACTGCCATAAATGTTAGTATGAGGAAAGAAATTGGGATTTTGCCCCCTTGATGGAAGTTTATTTTCTAATATTATTCTTACTGGGTGCAAGTTTAAGTTCATGGATTTGCCTTGGTGCTGCCTCAAGCAAATGGCCCACTTGGGAAGAAGGACAAGAGGTCCCTCCTTTGGTGCTGTCCCACCTTAATCCTGCCCGGAGCAATGGCCACACCTGGGGGAAGGAGGAACCCCTGCTAAACTTCGAAAGAATGCAGGGAATCCCCAGCCCACAGGCCAGTAGCCCAGGCACAATAGGATTTGGAAAGTGACTTAGACTAACCTAAGATAATTATCATGTCTTTAACTGTCCATCAAAGTGATTCCATGGAGACATCTGAACCATGAGGCAGACCCAATCCAGACACTATCAAATAAGACCCCAGACCATAACCAGAGCTTTCTTGTTACGACACATGGGTCTATTCATCATTCTGTGATGAATGTTATCTTGCTCTCACTCTGTAAACCTATATCTTGCTCTTGCTCTGTAAGTCTATCTTGTTCTTCCTCGATAACTTCATTTTATGCTTGCCTTGCTGTTGTTTCTGGGCTATTTCCTTACTGGATTTTCTTTTGTTTTCTTATTGATTTAAAGGCATCTTGTGGATGTGAGGTCTCTATGAGATACATACTTTTTTTTTCCCACTTGCCTTGCTTGCTCGCTCTCCTAATGGTGACTTATAAGGCACATGAATTCCTCAGTTTACTAACGTCCAATTGATTGATTTTTTTTTTTAATAAATAGTGTTTTGGAGTCCTCTAATAAATATTAATATTTCCCTGCCCAACAATCATACAAATATTCTTCTATATTTTCTTCTAGAAGTTTTATTATTTCACTTTCACATTTATAAATATAATCCTAAATATCTTGCTTAGATATGTAAATCCATTTAATCTTAACTTTTGTTTATGATCAAGATCATAAAGTATGAAGAGATTGAGATCTATTTTTTCCATATGGATATTTAATTAAATTAGAGCCTTTTTTTTCTTTTTTTGTAGTAAAATACATATAACATACAATTTACCATCTTAACCATTTTGAAGTGTAAAGTTAAGCAGCCTTAAATACATTCACAGTGTGAAACCATCATCGCTACTAATCATTACAACTCTTTTCATCTTATAAAATTGAAACTCGGCACCCAATAAACAATAACCCCCCCATTTTCCCCTTCCCCCAGTCCCTGGCAACTGCCTCAGAGCTATATATATGTAAAGTATTTATTTTATACACATATACAGATGTAAATATGCATAGGTCTCATCTTTATATCAATATTTGTATCTCTATCTATCTATATATGGGGTTGTGTGTATATATATATTCATCTTTATGCTTGTTTGTAGGTATCTATGTATATGGATAAAGTTCCATACATATACACATGCATATGTATATCAGCACACACACACATACATATAGCTTGTTACGTATTGTTATAAATGAAGTTATTTTTCTTATTATTATGAAATTCACATTCTTAAGGTGCCACAAAGTTATTATTGATGAGTGAATTTAGTTACTAAAAGGGTAGAATAAACACAGCTCTGTTATCTTTCATATACTTCAAATATGTTGGATATTTTTATCTTTGTAATCACTGTGTAAGTTGATGGGGAATCTGAGATAAACATGCTGAGGAGGTGATCTTTCACATTAGAAGTCCTGTGATAGCTAAGAGCATACAAGAGAAAGACAATGGTTTGTTTACCACATTTTAATTCCCTTCCTCTCAACTTCATTGCTTTCAAAATGAAATGCTAAATTATGAATTCTATAATAATAATGAGCAAACTTAATAACTTAATTAGGTTAGTAGAGACCCATGAAATTAATACAAGCATACATAGTGCTACTATAGTTTCCAAAGGTGCTAATGAATGACAAAGACTATTGCTATCTTGATAGTGTTAGACTTTGAAGAATAGTAGACACAGACAAGTCAAGGTAAATATTGTCTGGCAATAGAACAAAAGTTAATATTAGGATATAGGTCTTAATTGTTGAACTTAACTGAACAGAGAATGTCTTTTGAAAGTGTAAATAATGCTCTACTAAAAATATATCTCAATTTGGCAAACTAGGTAAACTATTATAATATTAATATAACATTACCTCTATGTAGAAAATAAGGGATAAAGGAAAATAAGCATATTTAACACAACTAATTAAGACTTTTAAATAAAAGCACATTAACACTAATGGTATTATTCTTAAAAATCTTAGCCCTGAATTATCACTAACATCACAAAATTATAATAGAAACAGCTTATTGTTTTTCTATTACTCTTAAATTTCTCCAAAACTTATTTTAGGGAATGCATTTATTCACCAAGTAGCAAGACAACTGTTTATGTCATGGCAATGTAATTAGAGGGCAGATCAATGTAAATGGATTTTTGACATTGTAATTATTTGAATTTTAGATTATAACAATGTGTTTCTTATGCTTGTACATAAATAATATCTTCAAAATGATATGTGTACAACAAGGTCAAGCTAAAAGCCAGTGTTTTGCACATAAACATTCAATTTTTTTGACTGTAGTTTAATTTTGTTTCAATCTTTGAAACATTGCTCTTTGATTGGAATGGACATTTCAAACCATCTCAAATTCTATCTTGGACTTATATCTCTTAAGTCCTCTTTCTTAGCAATTTTTAAAAACAAACCTATTTTGACTCTTGACATTGCTTTGGCTTTGATTTGTGATAAATTGTATTTTCAGAAATTTCCTTCACAGTTTTCAAATTTTATGCAAGGTCTAGACACATTCTTTCTAATTCCCTATCGTAATCCATATGCTTCATGTCCTAAGCAGTGATCTGGGCTTGTGGAGCTCAGGAATGAAGAAAAGAAAAAAAAATAAATAACAAGGCCTGTAATCTACCAGAGTTGATGTTTCTTGTTGAGAGGTTATAATATTAATATTAATAAAAGATGCAAATCAAAAAGAAGATACTTTCTGATATTAAGAAGTTCTAGAAAGATAATCAAATAGGTTAGTGAGATAGAATTGCAAAGAAGAAAAAGAAGAGACCCCCCCAGGTGGTATTTGAGCTGAAATGTGAATGATAAAAATGTCATCTACACATGACTATTTGCAGGTTCTCTACAAAGAGAAGACTTGAAGCAGCTGTGAGTCAGGAGCAAGCTTGGTGAGTGGCTGAAGCCTACTGAATGTGAAGGAAAGTGGTGAAGATGATTTTATTTTTATTTTATTAATAATTTAGTTTTATTAAAATTAAAAAGAAAAGTTTTGTAGGCTGTTCTTATAAATTAAGAGGCTAAACAAATCCTTATTCTCATGTAAGGGGACTTCTGCAAACAAAACAGAGAATTTTCCCAAATGCCTATTCAGCTAGACTGTAGAACATTTAGTTAAATATATATACATACATGTATATATATATATACGCACACACACACATATATATATATATATATATATTATTTTTTCTTGCCAAAAGCTACATGCACAATTACTATACCTGGAAATTATGTGATATATCCAGCATTCTATAAAAGCCTGTGTCATATAACAAAACTTACACTTGCCTGCATAAAATTGTGCCTCATAAGCTCATTGTAAAGGCTTCTCTCTGCTTGTTAAAGTTTCCCTCTCTCTGTATAATGATAAAGTTTTTACTTATAGATTGATTCCCTTACTTACTGGGTGGATTGGCCCTTACTTACTTCACAATAATTAGTGGTGTTGTTAGTCAGAAGCATGTGACCCAAGTGCTGGATATTCCTTTCTATGATCCATGTAACAATGACTATTTAAAAAAGAGAATCTTTATTCAAAGATCCATATTTTGTGTGACTTCTCCAATTTGTTGGATCAGCAGTCTGAAATGTCAATTCTTGGTGTGCTCTTGGCCGGAAGAATGACCAGACACATCAAAGGCAAGGCAAGTGTGAAACAAAGTTTATCGAGGAGAGAAAAACAGGATTATAGATCAAGATCAAGATACAGGTTTACAGAGCAACAGCAAAATAAATTCTCCACAGACAGATAAATGGATCCCTTGTCATAAAAAAAGGTGTTGGTTATGGTCTGGGGTCTTGTTTTATAGAGTCTGGATTGGGACCTCCTTGTGGTTCAGACGTCAGCCTGGAACCACTTTGGTGGATAGTTGGGAGTTATATAACCTGAATCTTACTGCACATGCGGATCTCCCACAAGCCTCTCTGAAAGGACATTTTGGGGAGAGGGGGTGCACTGCAATGTAGACTTAAGTTAATGACATAATAATTAGCTTTAGGTTGTACTAGGACACCTTCTAGACCCCATTGTACCTGTGTTTCTTGGCCCACCGGCTGGAGAATCCTCTGCATTCTTTTGTAGTTGGAGCACTAAGTTCTGATTGGCAGATTCATAGGTCATTCCCTCCTCCTCTAGATATAGCAATTGTTTGGGGCTCCTACCTTCATCCTGAAAAGATGCCAGAGGTCTTTGTTTTTATGTAACAAATTGATGTGCCATCTGACAAGGTTTTACAATTTTTTGGAGTGACAGATTATTTTCTACCTTTTGCTTGTCTGGTTACTCAGGTTTTTCATGGAGTCTCCAAATGGCAAAGATAGTTTCTTAAAAGAGGCTAAATAACCATGAATTATTTTGTCTTTAGGCAGGAGAGGACTTGCGGGATTCAGTGTGTTATAGTGATGGATCCTGTCATATGAAGGCAAAATAGACAATGTGGGAATTAAAATATGCAGGACCTTTAATTTCTTCCATATAGTATAATGTGATTGTTCCCAATTAGCCAGAATATTTAACCTAGAAACAAACTTAAAAATAAAATTCTTTTTGATTAAAATTATTTTATAATCTTTGTGCTACTAACCCCCAAAATGCACAATCATTGAAATATATTTCAATGAATACCTTGTGCTTATAAATAATTAACACAAGGAAGACTACATTTCTCTTTTGATTTGTCAGTTGTTTTGTTATATGTTTCATAAACAAAAGGATTCCTATAATAGTTTTGCATTCATTAACATTTGGAACCCATCAAACAACTCTATTTTTATCCCTCTTTTATTAGGTGGAGCAGCAAACCTTTGTGCTACTTTGTAGCCACTGGTAGAAAGCTAAATTGGTTTAGTCATAAAAGATATCAAGAGAGTTTTATTATTATAAATCTGGAGTTTGAATTTGGGAAAACACAATCCACAGATTTTAGAGATGATATAAACTAAAGTCTTAAATGTCTAACAGAAAGAGTTACAGTCAATATTTTCATTAGTTACTTTCAATAATACTCAGTGATAAGAAACAATGGTTATTAAACTTTAAACTTTAAAAAACAAAAATTCAAGACCATGCCAAAAATACAGAAAGTTAACAATATTTGGATGATAAAATGAAAAGTCTACTATGTACATCCAAAATAACTAGTAAATTTGGAAAAAGAAAGAACAGAATTCTAATTTTCTCTTTTTTGTATGCCATTCAAATAACAATTTGGACTAAAGGATTTACTGTTCTCTAAACTTATTAATGTCGATATATAGATATATACAATCTTACATATATAACTTAGCTATATAAATATACATAAATAAATATACAAACAGATAAGTTTAAAGCTTTCAATAATTACAATTTATACGTATTTACTATATTGCTATTTTAAATAAGACAATATTGTTTTATAACATATTTACCATTTTAATAAGCCCTGAGAATTTCAATAAAGTGACAAATTTTTTTCTTGTTTAAAAAGATATGAATATGTTTTCACATATTTATATCTTTCTGTAACAAATGTACCTACTGTTTTTTAACACTTGTGTTGTTCCAACTAATAATAATAATTACAATAGCTCACCAAAGTAATTCACTTAGTTTTCTTCAAACACAAGAGTAAACCAGAAGGGAGGAAAACATGTGCTGTGTATTTTTTTTTCCATGACCAAGCATTCTATTCTGCATAAATTTTAAGGTGGCAAAAATAATTACAATTATAATAACATTCAAAGGCATTTATACAAAGTGTTATAGTCTTCCAACTAAATAAGCATAAATTAAAACTAGATTCAGTGATCACTGATTTGTATCTTTCTTATTTAGAAATTACAAAGAATCCAAAGATTATATTTTTATTACCTCAATTTTACATTTGTCTAAGGTTTTAAAGTCAATAAAAATGTGTTATATACATGTTTCATTAACATTTTAATTTCTTATTACTTGTATCATTATGAGAATTTCACCCAGGCTTATACCCTTTTAAAATGTTCTCTATTACAATTCTATATAACTAAGAATAATTTTTATATCATTTAAACATCTTAAACATAAAGAAACGATTATAGCATACTTAACTCATAGACCACTACAGATAATTTACAAGATAATTATAGTAATTTAACCTCACTCTTATCATAGTAGAATATTGTGATATTAGTTTTTATAGTAAAATCAGGAAGGAAAATAGAATTATCTTTAAGTCAACATTATTAACTTATTTTCATTTATATACTTGAATATCTATTTTCTCAAATATTAACATGAAATATTATTTTAATAGAATCTATAATCCTCTGAATGAAAAAACTAAATTTTTTTGATTTAATAACAAATATTTATTGGCCATTTTTAATATATAAGTCATTTTGCTAAATTCTTTTTTTTTAATTTCAGCATATCATGGAGGTACAAATGTTAATGAATAAACTAAATTTTAAGGTCTCTTTAAATTATGCCAAAATCTCAGTACCTTAACCTTAGTTTGAGAAACTTTGTAAGCAAGGCCATAATTAAAAAACATAATAAAACAGTTAAACATTTTTCTTTGTTTCCATTGAGTTAAAAATTACCAAAGGAAGAAGTTAAAAGAGGAATAAATATGAAGAAATAAACATACATAAAGTATTATAAACATAATATTTTCTCTTTATTTTTAGCATAGATGTGACAACTAATTTTTTGCTAGCCTTTTCATTTACATTATTGACAAATATCTTTGTTAAAATGATGGTTTTTTGTTATTCCTCTTATAGTTTCTTTAACTTCTAAATTATATTTATGGTCTTGCCAACTAGCTATTTTCAACAAAATTTCTGTATTCTCTGGCCCTACGAGAAGAAAGGACAGATAGGAAGAAATGAAATATAATTACCAAAGACAAGTCTAAATTTTTCAATAAATTTTTCTCTCTGTCCTGGAGATTGGAGTTTTCTTAAGCATGGTATAGAGACCAGAACCTGACCCAGATTTAAGGTACACATTCCAGTCAGTACCTCCTTCATATGGAGACTGCATTCTTAAAGAATATTGGTTTTATTTATTCCTAAGACAAAAAATAAAAAAAAAATAAAACTAATTCTGAGAGTCTTGATGAAATAATCAAAGCTCAGACAATTTCCCTTGTGATTATGGGAAGGGTGGCCTTCTCTGTGAGCCAAATGAGATGCAAGGAGTCTCAGATGTGTGGACTATTTATTATCTACTCAAGAGCTCTGGTCCATGGCAAAAGGGTTTCAGACAAATTTTGGCAGAACTTCTAGTTTTGTTGAAGTACATTAGTCAATGGCCAGCAGAAATGTACTTGTAAGTAAACAAAGATAAATTTGTTCATTGCCATAGTAATCAAGAATATGTCAGAAAAACAATAGAGTGTTTCAGTACAAGGGAGGTATGTGGTGATTAATTATAGACAGTTTTTAGTAAAATTCAAAGAAAAGTCTGTCCTGATTTGGGACCTATTGGGAATTATAATAATTAGGAGATTCGATGTATTAATAATTGTTATCAAGAGGCAGAAGTAAGAATCAGGGATATGTTCCTATCAGAAATCTTATCGGAAAGAATAGTCATGCATTTTAGCTGGAAAAGGGGTATGTTTGATTATTTGTATAATGGCACAGTGTCCTTGTGTCTGTGTTTAGACATGATTAAAGTGTCATCTTGCTTTGATCTTATCCTACTATGGTCAAAATGAGCCTGCCTGATTATTGTTGTTATACTTTAGAAACTTTATATGATCCAGAGGGAACTTCAGGGCCTACCTGTTGGGTGCCAAAGGCCAGCTGTTGGCCATTAGGGCTGCTGTTGTTGTTGTTATTGCTCTTTACTTGTTTGTTTTTCCTCCTCATTATTGTTATTGTTCAACTATGGACTGAATTTTGTTAGATAATACAAATGATAAAATATCTTTGTTTAAATAGGAACTGGATTTATAGCAGAGAGAAAAAAAGATGCAGGTATAAGATAAATAAGAATAAGATAAAATCCTATCATTTTGAATTTGAAGTATCAGTGTAAATTCAAAATGTATTTTAAATTTTTAATAAGCATTCATGAGCACATTTAGGAGTCAGATTGTGGTCTCTATTTACCATTTTCCAATTACCAGAACCAGGGATCCTTTGAGATATCATTGGCTCTAAATCTGGGATAAAAATAAACAAGAAAACATTGAATTTATTGACATATCACAACCCAATAAACCACAAATTGCAATTAAGAATGTGTCAAAAAATTCACTTTTAATTTTCATTAACCTGTGACCAACAAAAGCATAAGCTGGACGTCATATTTCAGGTTCTCAAAACAGAACTTTCTCCCAGAATCTAAATCAGCTCAACTGATATTATCTTCACCTTAGACTTCTAGATAAAGATAATACATTTAAAATTCATATTGACACTCAATATGTTTTAATATGCTCTGGTTTGGGTTTGCTTATTCTCAGAATGAATAGAGCCTTTTTATTGCTGGAGAGATATACATGTCACTGGACACTCATTAAAGAACTTTCTAAAGCCTTGGCCTATAATCCAAAGACTTTACTTTCCATACTAACCTCAACATTCAGGAAAAACACAAGAAACCAGTGTTTAACTAGAATTAAAACAAAAATTTGGCAACATTCTCAGGGGCTCTGAAACTCCTATGGCCTAAGTCTGTTGACAAAAGCTCTCCCTTTGTGATTAATAATAGGCTTCACCGTACATTTGGGGATTTCAGTGGTGATCTTAGTCTACCCTAAAGCAAAATTATGCTATACTAAATACTATGAAAGAATCATATGCAGTACGTAGATTTAGACTACTGGGCACAAAAACCTCTTATAAGACATTCAAAATATTCACCTAAGCAGACCCTACATGGCCTGAAATGAGAAGACTTTAGTCTTTTGATAGAGATACCTCAGAGTGCACCTGAGTCTAAGTGAAAAAACACTTTGTCAGGAATTCTATTTTTTTTATTTTAGTTTATCAAATTATGGGGGTACAAATATTGTTAGGGTTACATATATTGCCCCTGACATTCCTCCCCCCACTCCCACCTTACCAAAACATCAAGCGTGTCCCACCCCCAGGTGGTGCGCATTGCACCTATTTTGTAAGTATAAATTCTTCCCCTCCTCCCCCCTCCCATCTGCCCACCACCCGATAAAAGTTTTTTTTTTTTCTTTTTTTGACCTTTGGGTTACATTGTATATCTTTGCCTTTCCCTAGGAAGGGTTAGAGGTATTCCCTCCTCCCCCCACAATGCTCGCCACAACCCTAAGATGTGTATCTCCCCCTCCCCCAAACCCTGGTGGGCACTATCACCATTTGAGCACCATAGTTTTAATCAGTCAGTACCAATTTGATGGCGAGTAGATGTGTGTCACCTCACTTTGGATAACGGGCTTAAGCTTAATGCAGGATAGC